ACCTACGAAGCGCCGAGAAAGGTTATCACCATAAATGTTCCTGGAATATCAGCATAAATGTTCCAGGAATTCTATAATTGCACAGGCATAATAGCCACACATTAGGGATTTCAAACTTGATACCATACTACATATATATATATTTTAAATTATTTAGGTTACGAAGAGAAGAGCCTTTCAAATCTCAATAATACATTCCAAAAAATATCGTTAAATATCCTTTCCATGTAATAAAAAATTAGGTTGGTCAATCATCTGAGAACCCTAACTCATAACTCGCACATATTCCATCATAAACTAGTTCACGTAGATCCGAACTTCTCTTATCCTTGGAATGCATGAACCGACCTACTAACTCATCACCCTAGCTGCATATAAATTAGGGCTGCAAACTAGTCGATCGCCTCTTTAGCCGCTCGCGAGCGCTCGAGTCAAAGCTCGACTCCAGTTCGAGTTTGATCGAACTCGAGTCGAGTTTGAGCGACTCGAGCCCATATTTTGCATTGTCGAGCGGCTATATATATATATATTAAATTACTAAAATACTCTTATATATATATATTTAAATAGTATAACACAAATGCTTAATGATAATTTTGCTTAAAATTTTTTGAGCCGAGCTCGAGCAGCTGAAAAAAAAAAAAAACAGTTATGCTCATAAGGCCAATGCTCAACTCGTTCAACTCGCTTGTAGCCTAATATAAACCGAGCTGAAGTTGTTGTCTATTCATCGACTTCCGAGCCATTCTGAGACTATCATTTGGCTCCTTAACTAAACGAGCAGAGTCGAGCTCATGACCCAAACATGAACTCAACTCGGCTTGTCTACAAATGAAGGGAACCTTTTAATTACAAATAATTCTAATTTATTTTATTATTTTATTTATAGGTATTAAGCTATGTAAAAGTTAGTATATTTGCATTTCAAAAAAAAACATAAATGTAAAAATGAAAAGAAATTTTTTAATCAACTGCATAATTTTTTCAATTGTACACTCCTGGTTGTCGTCAATTGCTAAATTAATAAGATATGAAGGTCCATGTCCAGTCCCTTATTCTTCAATGAACCATGTTCAATATCAAGTTAGCAACCAAGACAATTTGGTCCTTCCGAAATTAAAATCATGAAAGCAACAAATTTGGATTAATAATATATACAACCGTAATATATTTGTGGGAGATGCTACAGTCCCGTTAGGGAACCATTCCGTCGGAGTTTGTAACCGTTAGATCATCATGTAACAGTCGAAGATAGTTGTTCTAACGTTACAAACCTCGACAGAATAGTTCCGTAACGAGACTGTAGCATTTCCCTATATTTGTATACAGCAATGATAACATACATAATGCATATTGGATATTTCTCACATACAATCAAGATAAAGATCAATAATAGTACTATTAGGTTGAAAAAAATCTGGGATTTGAGGTCCTAATAGGGAGTGATTTCTATACATTTTGGCCTGATCAGGCACCTAATAATATGGGAAAAAAAATGTATGAATAGTATAATCCAAGACAATTGTCGAATGATTAGATAACAATGCATTTCCAATAATTAGATACATTTCATACTCAGATATCATACTTTAAAATACGATATGTTAAAAATGACATTTCATTTTATCAGTTTTGCTATGTCATCGGATGACTCGACTTATTGAGTCATCCACATTTATTCACCAATAGTGTATCAACACGTGTCCTGCAACGAATAAAATTTGGACAGGTATCAATACATTAAGTGGTGGATGGATCCATAAGAAAATCATCCAATGGCTCCATAAAATTTTTGTTCATTTTATATGTGATTTTTTTTTTGTAGGAAAGAATGAACATCTAGCTGTTACTTTATTAGACAACCTAACACTATTATTTGGTAAGACAGCCATGCTTCTAAACAGATGCTCATACTTTAAAACTTATATATCATGCTATAAAAAATAATAATAATAATAATTAAAAGTATCACATTTTAGAATATAATTATTCATTTTTGTTAAAAAAAAAAAAAAGAAAAGAAAAGTATAATGAAACGAGCAAGACCTCTCACACAAACAAACTGTATACTTGAGTATGATGTAGTAATATTAGGTCATCTGATAAGTGAGAGTGGTCTTCACAAATAAGAGGGAGAATGCTACAAGTATTTTAAAAAAATAAATGTAACATAAAATTACATGTATCTAAAAATATTTAATCCCTAATCGATAATTGCAAAAGTAAAAATAGGCAAAAATGAAGGTAAAAAAACAAATCGGATTTTTTCGCAGCATGCACCGGGTGTGACTCAGATCCTGTACCATAAATTTTCTAATACGATGAAGAGAAAATTATATAAACTGGGCAATCAAGCAGAACCCCACTCTTTATATGACAAAAGAACTAGGTTCATAAAGTGTATAGATGAAAAAGAACATAGGCACAACTAAAAAGGCTTTAAAGTCAAATTACAGTTCATACCTTCAATCACTCTAAAATTACTATATACAAAATGTTTTACTGCATTTTATTTTCTCTTTGGTTCAAACTCAGTTAAGATCAATGACCCGAAACCAAGAGCACCTTATAGCTGGATGTACATGAATATGAAGCACCGAGCAAAAACAAAACTGTTGGGATTCCCCAGTTAGTTGCTTCTACGATGGCGCCTCCATTTCATCAGATTCTTGACTCGCTGAACCACAGAACATGAAACATATGTGAGCAAAGGGTTCCCTTATACAAAAACATGAGGGTGTATTCGTTTGGGATTTTAAGAGACATTTTAAGATTTTTTGAGATTTGGGACTTTTAAAGATTTTGAGATTTAAGAAGAATCAATTTCAGGGAGCGTATTCGTTTGAGATTTCTAAAGACATTTTAAGACTTCAGAAATCCTGGTCTATTTGATTTAAATATTTTAAGACTTTTTAAGACTTTTAAAAGTTTTGAGGTATTCATTTGAGAATTTAAAATCTTACAAAATCATAAGGTATTTAACTTTATTGAGACGAATTGTGAAGACTTTTTAAGATTTGCTTTCACATGATTCATAATTCCTTCTAAATCTGAAAATCTTAAGAAATCTCAAATCTCGAAAAATTTCAAAATGTCACTCGAAATGGCCAACAAATACACTCCGTTTAAGTTTAGATGTGGGATTTTGAGTGAGATTTTGAATAAGGTTTTTTGTTTATGAAGCAAATCTTAAAAAATCTTAAATCCCAGTGTCAAATAAATTAAGTTAAATACCTCATTTGTCAAGACATTTTCAAATCTCTAATGAATACCTCTGTCTTAAAAAGTCCAAATTAAATACACCAAGATTTAGGATTTTAAAGTCACAACAAATCTTTAAGAAACCCAAATGAATAGTTCCACAACACAACAAAGGAAGACATATCCATCAGAAAGCACCTAAAGATAGATATATGTCGATTGGTGTGTTCTCATGAATGTACTCAGAGACACCAAGCAACCTCATTTCTATTTCTCCTAATCTTTTTTCACTTAGCCATTGTAGGGTATCCAACGTTACTGAAAAAACACAATACTATGAAAAATAAGCAATTTCAATGTACTGCGTTGCATGAGCATAACTTTTCCAAAGAGCACAACATAAATACTAAATTACGAAAAATGTAATTTTGCTGTGACAAAATGAAATATGGAGTGAAAAAATTTACCTTTTGATGATGGGGGGATCACAACAACGTGCATGGTCGCATTATTGGGAGGAAGCTGCAAACGAAGAGGATAAAGTTTGCCGTTTAATGGACTACGAGTACACACTGTGAGGCCACTAATTCCTAATTCGCTCTCGAGCCTCTTAGTAAGTTCGTTCACTTCATTACCCTTGAATGTGATGCAAAGCTCCTCAAAACCCTCGTCAATTTCACCATTTTCATCAGCTACATGGAAATAAATCGACCGGCCATCATTTCCCTTTGGGGGAGAACTAACAAATGAATCATTCGACTGCAAAGACAATGTAGAATTTGTTATATCAGTATCATTTTACAGATACTTTGAATTCATTGTCCAACTTTTGCTCCTATGCATATGCATATGGGAAATTGGGTCTAATCATGAAAACAAACATAAAAACAAATGCCAACAAAAAGGGAAGATTATATGAGTTTGAATCGGTTCATATTTCAGTTCTTGAAAACCGAATTTTGCTTTTACAATCATTCCACTACTAGGGAGAGCTCTTAAACAAGCTGCAATTATACACATTGGATGTCCTCAACTGAACAATACTCAATTTATCTTTCTTTGCCCGATTGCAAGTATCCGAACAATTGAGAAGCATATATATGAAAATTCCGAAAATTCAGTCTAAAAATGCGTTGCTCAACTTTGTCCAGATCCCAATTTTTCAAACAAAATCCACCACAATTGAACAAAAATTAGCTCAAATTACCTCTTGTCTGGAGAAACTAGCAGATTTGGACGAATAACTTGTGGTCGGGGAGCTCGAATCAGAAGCGGAAACATCGTCCTTGCCCGCCGGCGCCGGCGCCGGCGCCGCCGTCGTTGAAGCTATCTCCACCACATGAACCTCCCAGCAGACCCAGTCCTGCGTAGCCGTCCTGTGTGGGATATCGTGCGTGACCGAGTTCCTCCACGGCGGCAAACCCCCGTTCGCCCGCAGGAACTGGCCGTACCTCGTCTTCATCTTCACGGCGCCGTTCTCCCGGATCGGCTCCCACTCGACGGAGCTGTCGAGCCGTCGGGGCAGCGTCTGGAGCACCTTGCGGCCGGTGACGCCGAGCAGGAACGGCTGGTTCGACGCCGTCAGGTACTTGCCGTAGCAGCTCTTGAGGCGGATGATAGAGTCGGAGTAGTCCACGAATTCGACGGCCCACCGGGCGGATTTGGAGGATCCGTTACGGTCCTGGCGGACGGACTCCTCATCGTCGTCGGCGATTAAGTATTTGTCGTGGGAGCTTTTCAGGCGGACGGATTTGGCTTTGCGGAACAGGTCCATGGCTGGGGTTCTGGAGATTGGGGACAAGGGGCTCTGTGGGGATTGAAGACTCTATAAGGAATTGAGAGAGAGAAAGAGATTAGCGACAAGGTTTGGAAAAGGACGCCATTAATGTAGCTTCCACATTTTTGACAAAGCTTTACTAAAGAATAAAAAAAAATGGAGAAGTTGAAAATTGAAGAATTTTTTGGGGGGTGAATAAATAAAAATCATTGACTTGATCAATTGATAAATATGTAAACATATGCCAATTGATTAAAAACATTTGATAATATAAATATGTATAAATTTTTGTATAATAAGACGATATGCTTAAAACAGTAATGCTCCTTTACTCACGGTTGACACATGTTAATATGTCAACCGTTTATGTATCATGTACATATTTGGTAGACATATTAACATGTGATCACCGTGAATAAGAGAGCAACTGATGCTTAAGATTAGATTGTCTCACGAACAAAAAATAAATGTAATGTAAATTCACTAGTGCGCATTCACACGAATATGTATGTGTGTTTGGCTAGCCAAATACTAGTTTCAATTTTATTAGAAAAAAAAAAAAGGTAAACACGTCATAATTTGTAAGACTTTTTATTCTAAAATATTAAAAAGTCCATTACTATAACATCATAATTCAATTTATAGGAACTTTATATAATCATATTTTTTCCAAATAAACTTTGGTACAACCGTACAACTCTTAAGTAAAAATTACCCATAACCAAAATGAAATAAACTAATGTATTGCTTATCTATATATATATAATTGCTAGCATATAGCATTTAATAAAACCTATTTGCTAAAACCTCTAAAATTTTCCCTCCATTTTCGGTTACAAAATTTATCATTAATATTTTTTTCCTTCTCACATTAATACATCCTATTGAGTG